TTAGCATGCTTCCCCTCAGAGGACAGCCCATCCCAGGACCTGACATAACTACAGCCTCCTGAGAATGTTCCTGACAAAGGCGAATGCCTTGGGGGCGGGGGTCGCCACCTCGTTTGGCAGCGGGCGCTGTGTGAGGGAGGCAGGAGAGGCACCCAGATGTCCTTAGCTCAGGCGCTCGAGAACTCTCCAGAAGGTAACAGGGTTTCAAGTTAATTAGGTTTATCTCGAGCACGTTTGGTGACTTTTCCCTATGGTGACTTTCTTAATGGAATGTGGAAATAAATCAGACTTGACGTCAGTCACTAAGAAGGCAGGGCTTTAGCAGGCCTGCGACTGTTCCTAGCCGACCATGGCTGAGGCCACGCTGCTCCAGGGTGTACTTCAGGGACAGAGTCTTGGTGTTAGCAGAGACCATCCGCATCGTTTGACCAAGAAAAACGGGGCTGCGGGAGAAGGTCCATTACACGGGGGCAGAGCGTCACCCAGGGGTGCGTAGGGGCTGAGCCAGGGCGTCTTGCTTTAGCCCTGATGTGCTCTGAACCCAGCAGACAGCCCAAGCGCCCCGGCCCAGGTCCTGTCCTGGCGATGCTGCAGAATCGCTGTCTGGTGATTATTTTCTGGGGGCTGGTGCTTTGTAACTAGGATAAAAGGGGTGGGCGCCCCACCCCACACCTCCACTACATTTGCCCTCAGGTCTTCCTCCCCACAAAGCAGGTGAGAGCTCCTTCAAGAGCTTCCTTCAGCCCTAGGAGTGGGGGGGCCAGCTGTATGACACCCCCTCCTCACGGCAGGATGTGCCAGGCCCAAGCACCCAGCAGTGCTCTTCCACCTCCAGAGCTCCCCCTCGGGAGCCACTGGCGGGCAATCACGGCAGAGGACCCCACAGGACCTGGGACCCGGAATGCCGGGGGGCTGGGAATGAAGGTGGCCTGGGTCCAGCGCCAAGCGGCAGGGAGCCTGTGCAGGCACTGGGCGGCCTCTTCCCGGAGTTTGTGTTTGGGTCAGGAAGCCCTGCTGTGAGCTCTCCGGCTGACTGCCACCCCCACCATGCTGTCCTCCAACTCACGCCCCCGCCGGCCAACAGGCGGACAACCCCTCCTTCCCAAACCCTCGCCGGAGGCTGCGCCTGCAGGACCTGGCCGACCGCGTGGTGGACGCCTCCGAGGACGAGCACGAGCTCAACCAGCTGCTCAACGAGGCCCTGCTGGAGCGCGAGTCCGCCCAGGTGTAAGTGGCCGCGGACACAGGCTCTCCGGGCTCCCGGGGCTCTGGAAGTCGCCATCTCAAGTGTGGCCCCTCACTGACAGGCCAGACGGGTGGGGCATTTAAGTTTCTCGGGCTGGTTCCCACTGCAGAGTGAAGAAGAGGAACACCTTCCTTCTCTCCATGCGGTTCATGGACCCCGAGATGGAAACCCGCTACTCGGTGGAGAAGGAAAAGCAGAGCGGGGCCGCCTTCAGCTGCTCCTGCGTTGTGCTGCTGTGCACAGCCCTGGTGGAGATGCTCATCGACCCCTGGTGAGGGAGCGTCGTGTAGGGACCCAGGAGCCCGGGAGGGTGAGGCCGTGAGCCCCCCAGGCCGGGCAGTCTTGGCTCTGTTCTTGGCCGCCCACTGGGGAACAGGCCTCGGCAATGCCCGGACCGTGTCAGGAGCCCGCCCTTCGCCCTCGTGGGCTCCAGAATAGTCTGAACATCAGAGTGGGCGGCGCCCCGGGGCTGGGGGTGCAGGGGCATGGAGGCCTTGGCCAGGTGGGTGGGCCTCGGCAGTTCTCGGAGACAGTGGATGGAGCCCAACCCTGGTCCCCCAGGTCGGCCTGGCTTCCTTTTGTGGCTCTTGAGACAGAGTGACTCGAGGACTGGGAGGCCAGACTTCAGCAGCAGCCTGCTGGGGTGACGTGGGCTCTTGGCCAGCTGCCGAGGCCCATCTGTGCCCCAAAGCTCTGCAGCAGCTGACTCCTGCTTTGGGACTCCCATCAGAAGGAAGGGGTATGACGTCCTGCTCCGGTTAGCTTGGGAAACTGTCAAGAGCCGTGGCCCAGCCACCAGTCCGAGGCTCTGGACCCGGCTTCCTCCTACTTGCTGAAGGGCTGTTGCCTCATCTGTAAAGTGAAGCCTGCCCAGCCGCACCCTGACTGAGGCGCAGATTCACTGCACCACTACCAGCACCCTGTCCACTTGGTGCCCACGCGCAGGTCTGGGACAGAGCCGTGTTCGCAGCACAAGGAAAGCCCTCTTGTGGACCTGCGTGCTAGGAGCAGCAGACCAGACAGATTGTGCTTCGTGCACGTGGTGACCACTTCCTGGTCACTGTTCCTGGGCTCTGACCCAGCAGGCGGCAGGCCAGGACCTCTCGCCTGGGTGGTGGGTGGTCCCCCTGCGGGAACAGGCTTGTGCCCGCTGATTCCTTTACTCTCCTAGCCTGTCTCCGAGACACACTACGCCCTGGGGTGCCGCCCCCCCGCCCCACCCCAATGCCTTCTTTCTGTTACAGGCTAATGACAAACTACGTGACCTTTGTGGTGGGGGAGGTTCTGCTGCTGATCCTGACAATCTGCTCGCTGGCTGCCATCTTTCCCCGGGTAAGAGGCAGTTGAACTTTTGGCTCCAAAGCCCTTTGGAAGTGGGCACTGTGCCCTGTGAAAGTGTCTTGGTCGTTATGCTGCCTGTGAAATCCTTACCAGTAGGCCGCGCCGGCCTCCATCCCATCCCCAACACTCCCAGCTCAGCCCCACTCTGGACTCTGGTGCAGGCATACACGTGGGTCAGAGCCAGGGTCCAGGTAAGTGGGGCCCTGGCAGTCTCCCGGGGCCTGATGGTGAAGGACCAAGCTTGGAGCCCGTCAGAAGCACCAAGACCTCCCTCTAGAAGCACCGGGGTGCTGTGCAGAGCTTTTGATCGGAATGGTGAGAAAGTGTTTGAGGAAAATTGAGCTGCAGGTGACTCAGGAGGAACTGACCCGGGGAAACAGTAGCCAGCTAGAATACTCTCCCCTAACCTGAACTCACCACTCAGAGGTGGGGTGTGGGTTCCTGGGGGCTGGTCTCTGCGCTCTGGAAGGGGTGCCATGGAAGGGAAGCCAGTGTTCACCAACACTTCCAGGACCCAGACAGCCGGTCCTTGCCGCTCCCTTCTCACACGCCGAGGGCCGCTTCCTGGGCCCGGAGCAGGGGCGCAGCCAGTCGGGTTTGGTCTGCAGAAGGGGCTGTCAGGAGGTCCTGACTTGGAACTCACTTCCGCAGGCCTTTCCTAAGAAGCTCGTGGCCTTCTCAGCTTGGATTGACCGGACCCGCTGGGCCAGGAACACCTGGGCCATGTTGGCCATCTTCATCCTGGTCATGGCGAATGCCGTGGACATGGTGAGTCCCTGCCGCTCAGCAGAGAACGATGCTTTCTTGGGGAGCAGGGACTGCAGCCGGCAGCCCTGGTCTGTTGACTCCCAGCTGCTAGATGTTTACTGGGCACTGTGCTGTTGTCCAGTCACACAGCTCCCTCTCATCTTGGTAGCGCTCTCAGCGTGCTCTGAGAGTGGACGCTGTTTTCAATATGTTACGTGACTTACTCTAACAAAAAGCACAGGAAACCGCTCAGTGGAGACGCACTCTGGCAGCAGTGCAGGCGCAAGTCCTGGGGCTTCTGCTGGGCCCAGCTGGAGTGAGTGGGAGCGCCAGGCCCTGAGCCGTGCAGTGCCCACAGCGCAGGGAAAAGCCTCAGGCTCCTCCCACGCCAGGACACAGCTGGTGCCTGGCATCCAGGCCCGGGGCCACTGTTAACACCGTGTGGGACAGCACTGGTGAAGGTGGGAAACTAGGGAGATGTGAGTACTTTTCACGTGCTGCAGTGACACAGCGAGAGCGTCCCTTGAGCCAGACAAGTCCCACTGGGTGACTCAGTTTCTGGCAGCATTTTCCACGGGCTACATCTGTCCAGCAGTGGGACCGGTCACCGGACTCCAGAAATGCAGGTGCCTGACCGAGACTGTCTGCCGCTGCAGCGGAGCGGGGGCGCAGCAGAGGGAGTTGGGCCAGGGCACGTGGGGTTTGGGTCTGAACTCCTGGTCCGGCCTTGCTGCTGGGTAACCGCAGGCCCGGGGGCGGCCCGCCTCTGCCACCGTGGTGTCAACACTGCACACACTCAACCCCAGGCACTGGAGGGGATGGGAAGCTTAGCGGGTGCCGCTGACGTTTGCGCCTTGGTCAGCGTTCCCGGCTTCCTCCCGGGTCCGAGGGCCCGTGGGAGGGGCAGCGGCGTGCCCACTGTGCCGACAGTCCTGCCTAAGCAGCGTCCGCTTGCACCCTGTGTCCTGGCCTGCAGCTGTCCTGTCTCCAGTACTACACGGGGCCCAGCAACGTCACCGTGGTGATGGAGAGCGAGGATGGCTGCGTGGAGAACCCCAAGTATTACAGCTACGTCGCTGTGCTGTCCCTCATCGCCACCATCATGCTGGTGCAGGTCAGCCACATGGTGAAGCTCACACTCATGCTGCTGGTCTCCGGGGCCGTGGCCGTCATCAACATCTACGCCTGGCGCCCCATCTTCGACGAATACGACCACAAGCGTTTTCAGGAACATGAGTAAGAGGAAGCCTGGGGGAGGAACTTGTTGTCTCCTTCCTGCCACCTGCAGGTCCCCGTTTCAGAGGTCACAGGCCTGCACGCCAGTGGTGTCAGCCTCTAGGTCTCACTCACCAAAGGTGTATATGGGACACAGGTGGCACCACTTCCCGTTCTTGACGCGTGGAAGAGCGGGCTACATCAGGGTCTGCTGGCACCAGCCTCTGTGCTGGCACGGGGCCTGAGTGTTGCATTATGTGCCCAACAGCTTTCCTGTGGTCGCCTTAGAGAAGATGCAGATACTTTCCAGCCCCGGGCTCAACAGCACCGACAGGTAAGGGGACCACTTTCCCTCCGGGTCTGTGCTGGCTGCACCCTCTAGGCGAAAGGCCAGAGCCCCATGACCTTCACTGCCCAAAGCCCATGATGTGGATGCTCCAGTGCCTGTTGGTACTGGAGGTGGAAGCGGCCAAATACTGATGTCAGTCTGGACCTGGCCGTGCAGCCTGGCCTGTCAGTGAAGGCTGCAGAGCAGCAGTGTGGCTTCTGAGGTAGCGAGTAAGGGGTGGGATGAATGCTGAGAGAAGGCAGCCAAATGGATGCCAACTGCCTTTAGCTGCTGGTAGGACAAGAATGTGGCGCGGGGTACAAAACAGGAGTCTCATGCTGCCCCGCGCGGCCTGCAAGCCAGATTCCAAGTTTCCTCTTGAAGAGGCTATTGGACTAGAAGTTTCCCAAGGTCCCTGGTAGCACTTAAGTTAGAATTTTATGATTCAGTGACTGGATAGTTAACTAACCAAAGATGTACGAGTGGAAGACTGGAACAGGCCCCTACAAGAGAACAGACTACATGGCTGCTAGTGAAAGCAAGCCGTCAGAGCGCCAACAGCAATCTGGGGTAGCTCCCTTTTTGAAAAATATTTGCCATCATTTAGTAAAGTTGAAAATTGATCTGTGACCCAGCAATTCTACTCTGCATACCTAGAGAAATTCACACACGTGTCCAAGAATGTTCAGTCATGTTGTTTTTAATAGCCCCACCCCCACCCCCCCCCCGCCCATGGTATCGGCAGTAAGTGGGCAGAGAGCTGTGGTCCGGTCACACAGCGACTGTCTGCGAGGAGGTACTCACAGCTCCACGCAGAACAGGGGACGGGAGCCCTGGGCCAGTCACCTCTTCTGTGGTCAGCCAGGTGAGGCAGGTGACTCTAGGGAGCAGCTCTGATGTGGAGTCCAAGCGCAAGCAGGCTGCCCTTGAGCCGGGAGCCCGGGCCCGACGCCAAGGTGCTAGGCGTTAGAAAGCCTACAGCCCCGGGGATGGGCCCCCCAAGGGTAGTGTGGGCGCTCACGCAGCCGAACTGTCCCTGCCGCGCAGGCTGCCCCTGGTGCCTTCCAAGTACTCGATGACAGTGATGATCTGCATCATGATGCTGAGCTTCTACTACTTCGCCCGCCACGTGAGTAGCCGTGCACGCGCCCGCCTGCTTACAACCTACCAGGGGCTCATGTGCAGCAGTCGTGGGTCTAAAATCTCGAATTCCTGAGAACACTCCCTTCACTGAACACTGCATGTGGCACTGGGCAAACCGCCACTACCTGTTGTCTGGTTCCCTCCTCAGTAATTCAAGGAAAACTGTTGTTACTTAGCTCTCCTGACCCCTCCACGATGTTGCAGGAAGCACACATGGGGTTAGGACACCGCAGCCTGGATGAAATCCTTTCCCCAGTCTAGTGGCTCCTGGACTTTCACCCAGAGCCAGAAGGCAAAGGGGAGGGAGCTGAAGATTTGGGGCGCGGAGGAGGAGGTGTTCTTACACGGACCTCACTGGCCCCGGCCTGGTTAGCCCCAGCGCCACCAAGTGGCCTTCCAGGGGAAGTACAGCCTCTCCAAGCTGCTTGCCAAATGAAGCTGCCGGAAACTGAGACTCCTTCCTGATTAGTCGCAAGTCCTGCCATTGATCCATCTTCATTTTCCCACATCAAGTTCCCACTTTTCATCTTTCCAGCAAACGGCCAGATTAGAACACACACCTTGCCTGTCTCTGTGTCTATAGGTTGAAAAACTGGCAAGGACACTGTTCTTGTGGAAAATTGAGGTCCATGACCAGAAGGAGCGTGTCTATGAAATGCGACGCTGGAACGAGGCCTTGGTCACCAACATGCTGCCTGAGCACGTGGCCCGCCATTTCCTGGGGTCCAAGAAGAGAGATGAGGTGAGGAGTAGCTTCATGCTGGGGCCCAGAGTCATGAAACCACGTGGCTGCTTCTCTCTTGCTGGACACAGCCTTCTCAGGGAATGGCTTTGGGTGCTGACCAGTAACTGTAATATAAGCAGAAAAGACTTTAGGCTTTTGGTAAAGGGCACTGCCCTGAGTATCTCTGCAAGGCCCCACCTCAGAGGATGCGGCCTTTCTGTTAACTGTGGTCTCAAGCTGAATGGCCCTACACCTTGCTCCCCAGTGCCACTCTACCCTTCTTACAGCTGGGCACTCAGGAGACTAGAAACGTTCTTTTTGTATTTCTTCAAAGTTGTGATGAGCTGCTCTAAAAATTCCGGACTGAGGTAATCTGGAAGGGGGTGGCCACAAGGCAGGTGGGGACACGCATTTCCCCAGCACGTGCTCATTCACTTGCCATGAGCACAGGGCCTGCCTCTCTCCAGGAGCTGTACAGCCAGTCTTATGATGAGATCGGAGTCATGTTCGCCTCCCTGCCCAACTTCGCTGACTTCTACACGGAGGAGAGTATCAACAATGGTGGCATTGAGTGTCTGCGCTTCCTCAATGAGATCATCTCGGATTTTGACTCTGTGAGTGCCAAGTCATCCTCCCGTCCCCACCCCCACCCTGCCACAGTACCAGCTCATCCTAGGTCGCACCTTGTAACAGGTTATAGAAGCCAAAGGGAAGGTGGGGTTACCACACCTGACGGTCACTGCTCTCCGCCTGTCCCCAGGTGGAAGTGTAAGATAAAAGGTGGAAAATCACCTGTGAGTTCTTAGAATGAGGACTGGCCGCAAACGTACCTTTAGCCCCTCTGATTCTGATATCCTCCAATTCAGGAAAACCTTGAAAGTGCTTTCATGCAACTGCCCTGGGGGTTGGCAGTTTTACCCCAACCTTAAGGTTACAGTAATCGAGTCTCCAAGGCAGGTAGTTATCCAGGAACACACAACTGTAGAATAAAGCTTCTATAGGAGAGCACCTTTGGGATGTCTTACGCGGTCAATGTAAACAGCCACATCTGTTACTTAGTGGCTCATGCACATTCACCCCTGGCCCCACTGACAGCTCTCCTCCTAACACTGCTCTCAGCTCCTGGACAACCCCAAATTCCGAGTAATCACCAAGATCAAAACCATCGGCAGCACCTACATGGCGGCCTCTGGAGTCACCCCAGATGTCAACACCAATGGCTTTACCAGCTCCAGCAAGGTAGCTCAATCCCCTTAAGGCTAGTGCAAGGGGCTGCTACCCCGGGAAACAAGTTATGACTGTGCAGGAGGGGGCGACAACCACTACCTCCAGCAAACAAAGTTGGGCTTTCAGAGGAGAAACAGCGGGCCAATCCACACCCCGACTGGCCCACAGCGCAGGATGACCGCAGCCTGCGCCTGCGGCTGGGAGACCCACTGTCTGGTTGGTCACACGCCTCCTGTTTTAAGAACTGAGGAACAGAAACTGTGTAACACTGACAGCTGGGTTGGAAAGTGGTCATGTCAGGCAAACGGGGTGGGCGGTGTTTCAAAGCTCACTGCTGTGATCAGCCTGTTCACACCGAAGGAGCCAGATCTGCTTAGCTACCAGAAGTGAGCTTTGGGGACCATGGTCCCCAAGACTGTTTGCAAGTGAAGTTAAACACTGTCTAGATGGCATCTAGCTAAATCAAAATAAGGACAGTTATCCCAACTGTAAAGTGCAGGTCGCACAATGGGATGATGAAGTGACTTGTGACCAGCTCCATGGCAGACAGGGAGTGGCTGGACTGGCAGCCACCAAGAGGCCCGTGCACCAAGTCAGGACAAGCTGGAGCAAGCGCTCAGGTTCCCCTGTGTGAAGAAGCCGAGAATGAGGCTTCATGCTTCATACTTAAGCACAGGGAGTTGAACCGCCTCTCACATGACGAAGGGAGGCAAGCAGGCTGCTGTTACGGGTCAGAACAGTTCCTGAAGCTTCTGCTCTCGGCACAGGAGGAGAAGTCAGACAAGGAGCGCTGGCAGCACCTGGCTGACCTGGCTGACTTCGCACTGGCCATGAAGGACACGCTTACCAACATCAACAACCAGTCCTTCAACAACTTCATGCTGCGCATCGGTAAGGGCCCAAGGCCGGCCTAACCCCCCATGTACTTCCTTGTCACAGGGCAGCCAGGACTAGTGGCTCACAGACCTGAGGCACTGGGGTTGAGGGTTACCCAGAGCTGGAGTGGATCTAAGGTCGCAAGGGTGAAACGGGCCCTAGCCCTGTGTCTGCCTGCAACGACAAGCTTCCTCGGAATCTGGTCTACCTTTCTTAGGGAAACTTATGTGCCTGCTCAGGGCTTTGTTCACCTCAGTCCCAGCCTGTTAGGCATTAATGTTACCTCCCCCCGCCCCCACTGGGTTTCACTCCTTTTGAGGTCACTCAAAATGAAGTTACCAGGTAGGTGTTAAAAATTGGCAGCTTCCATCTGGAGTACACTATGTGTCCCAAGCACCGGGAAAGGACAGGATGAAGAGAAGACGTGACGTGCCCTATAGTTCCAGGGGCCTTGCAGTAGGGGTCAGTTGACAAATCAAAGGAGTTGGCTTCTAAGACATGACAAGGTTTAGCATGTGGCTGTGCTAAGTCACATGCCTCTCTACCTCAGGCATGAACAAAGGAGGGGTCCTGGCTGGTGTTATCGGAGCCCGGAAACCGCACTATGACATCTGGGGCAATACCGTCAACGTGGCCAGCAGGATGGAGTCCACAGGGGTCATGGGCAACATTCAGGTACGTCCAACAGACCCAGGGAGCAGGCCCGAACAGTGTGGGTTCTGCCAGCCCAAAATGTGCAGTTGGCAGTGCTGTGCGATTAGGGCCAGAGATGCCTCAGAAGGAGAAGGTTTAAATTCTGAGTTAGAAAACCCTGCTCTTGGTATGAACTTTCTAACACACTATTCTTACAGCAATTTCCCTCACTGCCATCTTGATCTGAGGGAAACAACAAAGGGAACGGACAGGCGTAAGATGCCAAAGCAAAATGCTGCTACACTGGCATCCTCAGGGGAGAGGAAGGCCCTAGACTGCCCCGCACCCGTGTACATGGAGGAAAGGGACCCTCACCTGGGGAGGTCTGGAAAGGCCTGTGGATCAGTGTGGGCACCACTTGGTGCCCTCAGTCTAGCCTCACTCTCTTAACCCCAGTTATCTGTTCTGTTCTCTCCTGACAGGTTGTAGAAGAAACACAAGTCATTCTCCGAGAGTATGGCTTCCGCTTCGTGAGGCGAGGGCCCATCTTTGTGAAAGGGAAGGGGGAGCTACTGACCTTTTTCTTGAAGGGGCGTGATAAACCAGCCGCCTTTCCTAACGGATCCTCGGTTACACTGCCCCACCAGGTGGTAGACAACTCCTGAGTGGCCTCTCAGCCAGTGACAGTCCAACCAAGAAGGGAGAATTTACTTTTGGGAATTGAAGAAAGGCCTTGGGAGAGGACAAATTACCAAGTAACTGCTGAAGTGCACACTCAATCTAGACTTTTAGGTGTAACAGTCTCCTCAAGCCTTCATTTCTGTGTGAGCTCTGAGGAGGCCATACTATCCTCAGTATGCCTGTAGCTTCCCCAGAGTATAGGGGTTGTAGGCATAGCCCTGGAACGGAACCTTTGAGTCTTAGTTCTGCCCTGTCCCCCCAGAGAGGCCATGGCCACTGTGAGCAGGAGTGCCCTGGAAGTGAGACAGCTGCCTTGAGTCTCTGCTTAACACGAGCTTGGCAGAGGGCCAGCTGTGGCCCAAAGCAGCATTTGATGTTAGGTGAAATGGCCCTCGTCCTGGTAATCTTGAAAGGTTCTTCTGGAACCCTGTCACGAGAGCAGAAAGTGCAATATTTCCTTTTACGAGGGGGGAGGGGGACCTATTTCTGACAGAAAAATATATAAACAGATCTTCTACATTTATATTTTTAACTCTGTTAAAAAAAACTTCCAATATTGCCTTGCCTTTTGAGCTCTTGCTACAGTCGCCTTTGCTACTGCTTTAAAAGAGAATTTACAGGTATTGTAAAGAATAAGACTGTTTTATTAAAAGCTTTATCAACTTGAATGTGAAAATTCTGATAAGAGGTATATTAAGAGCTCTGCGAACTCCCACCACCGGGTCCTCACCACATACCCAGAAGGCAAGAGGTTGGTCTAAACAGGCCTGGCCACTCCCGTGCCCTTCCTAGGGTGAGCTGGAGCGCCTACCTTCATGGGCATCTGGCCTAAGAAGGAACCAACTCAGAGGGCAACAGGACGTGACCTGGCTTGACATGCACTCTCCCTGGCCAACAACAGGAAGTCCTAGCAACCTGCGGCCAGCAAGAGAGACCGCGCATTCATCAACTAGGGGGTGGGGAAGACACAAGTGCAGCTTTGACCTAGAGTGGCAGAAGGGCAGCAGCATGTCAACTCCCCTTTGCAACAACTGAGGTATGAACAAATTTTTGATCATGTGGTCACAGCTGTCAGAAGACACACACATACCTTATTGTGGTGATAGTACTTTCTGACATAATTTTTACGAAGCTTCCCTTAACTACAGGATTCACCACATAAAAAAAACCTAGCCTGCTCTACAAACTTCCATTTCATAGTCCTCAAAAAGCAAAAAGACAGAATTATGTACAGCTTCCATCCAAGCTAGGAATGCTCTACTGAACATCTTTCCCTGCCCCATACACCTGACTTAATGAAAACATATGATCAAACCACTCTGTCAAAAGACTAGATCGATCTTAAGCATTTTAACATAGTGAGCCATCAACGAAGAACTGTCCAAACGTGTTTACGGCTCATGTGTCACTTGGCACCCACAGAGGATGTGTTTTCTCCTGCTGGGACTGACCTGTATGGGGTACTGATTGACTCACGCCTGATAGGTTCCCACCGGAAGGATTTCAGGAGATGAGGCTCATGTCCAACCTTTCTCCTTTTCTTGCAAATGCTGTAAACACCTGATGTAGGGGTTGTGTAGAAAACAGATTTTCATGGGCTAGTCTCTGCTCTTCCCATGAGGTAGGTAATGTATCCATCCCTAAAAAAAGAAAGTCTTATCAATCTCACTTAATGCAACCAAGGGAATCAGAATCTGGATTCTGAAGCCAGATATTAGAACCTATTTCTGGGGGGTTTCTAAGAGAAGCTGACCTTTATTAGACTGATATAACACACTGGGCATTTGTTAATACTCTGCCTAGAAAAATCTAAAAGTTATGGTATGAAAACTATGGCATCTGCTTCCTAAAGACATCTTACCCTATATGTGTGTGTGTGTGTATATATATATATAAATTCTCATTGGCCTTGTGACGATGCCCACAGTTACATCATTATGGTACACTTAACTGAAACGAAAATCACAAAAAATGTCTCAGCTGCCCTGGAAAATTCCCATTTACAGAATAGTCTCTAGAGAGCTAAGTGTATACTGATTTGTCACATCTATTAGTTTCACAGTGAAATGAGTCTTCTGGTGCTCTTTACCGCAAGCAACCCTATGAGTCAGTCTCATTAGACAGCTCTCTTCTGAGAGATCTCCAATGAAAACATAAGCTGAAAGAACAGTAAGTGGAAAAAGGGAGGGAGAAGTAGGACAATTGTGTTTACTACCCACAAAGAGAAGAAAAATAGGTAGTACTTTACTATCTCAGTGAATGTAGAGAAGGAAAGGTCTCAAGAGGTCCAATTACTGCAGGCTACCTATTTTACCTTGCTTCGATCACACAGAACAATCCAGAGCATGTTCTAATTTCTCCACTGAGGCAACCTTCCTCTTACCTTGATACGTAATGCTGACATCAGTTGGAAGGGTTACTGTGAGGTCCTTGTACAGCAATCTTGCACAGAATGGGAAGGACAGACTCTTCAAGTCCACTTTGTAAGTAAACGCCAGCAAGTTGCACAGTGAGTTTCTCTGCAAGGGTCCAGCCAGAAAGGCTGCAAAGTCACTCTATTAGGGGCAAGGGGGATCAAAAAGACAAAACCTTTACATGAATTCATGCCTGAATTCACATTATCCACAGGAGCTTCGGATGCACAAAAGGGGAAATGCTAAGTGACTCTTAATCATATACATTTCCTGTCTATTTCCGGTTCCATCTAAGAAGGTAGGTCTTAGTTTAGCTCGAGATGTAGAGTATTCCTCTATGGTATACTTATTCAAGGTTCAACAAGCACATTCAGGTACTTTAGAAGTCTCTGCTGAATTGGAAAAGCAACTGTATGCTACCACCATGTGAAAAAAAAATGTTCAAGTATAAAAGCCTGAGGACCACCATTCGGGAGTGAATAATCCCTTAGCCAATATCCATGGTTCAATATCATCCAGAGGTTTTAAAAGGGGATGGAACAGGGGTGGAAAATTAAGTTTGCAATGTGAATAAAACACAAACATTAATAGAACAATGATCAAACTCTGGCAAAGAGTTATGAAACATTTTAAAATACAGAAGCAAGCTTGTCTCCCCTTTTCCTCCCCTTTTCTTTCAAGACTATCCGGGGCCCTTAATATGCCAGATAAGATCCCAAACATACCTGAAGTCGATCTGCCTGGTACTTCCTTCCAGAGTAAGCATTTAGGTATTCACAGAGACTGAACAGAAACTGCTGAATATTTGTCTGTAAGTATTTTGCTGACAACTCCTCTAAGGGAATAAAGACGGGAACTGAATGGCGATGGATCCGAAGTGGTTTCTGTATGACAAGGTCCACAAAATAGGAGCCCAGCAGGTTTCCCTGAAAAGAAGTGTCAATACAGACACAGACTCCTCGACTGGTCAGCTTCCCACTGAGCCCTGAAGCAAACAAAAGGAGAGCTCTCAACAGGTATCAGGCAAAACAGTTTCTCATTCATCACTGTATCTAGTCACTTGAGCCCAAACTAAGTACATAGAGTATGTGCCAAATGTGTGTTCCATGAATACCACCGACTGTCCTCATTAGCTCTGGCTCACTTCACATTTGAGTTGTTAAAACAATGAAAGAATGGTGCAAAAAATATCAAAAACTTTTGAGGAAGATCTTGAGATTTTCAATTTACCCATCTTTTTTGGGGTATCAAATAATTATGATAGTCCTTCCACAATTTTTTTCTGACAAACAATACGGAGAATAAATCCCAATTTTAATGGTGAAAAAACCTGAGGGTTTAAAATTATCTGATCAGTAGCATAGAGCCAGCCAGCAATGAAGGCAATTTTAGTACAGGGTCCTGCATACATTAAATAGCTGAAACAAGTGGTCTAAGCCAGTTACCACCCAATCTTCTGCATAAAGAGGCCAATCTTACAGGGTTGTAGATGTCAACAAGCATCATGTCAACTCGTGTGTGTATGAAGAGGAAGGCAAAATCAGTACTCAGCATTAACAACACATGTAGCAAACTAATTCACCGGAGACAAACAACCAGGCTGACAGGTCAAACACAAGCATACCTGTAAAACGGTAAGCCTGCAGAATAGCCTTCACATTTTCCTGTTTTCTTTCCAGAACTTCTTGCTCTGTGATCTCTAGTGTTTGGGTGGGTTCTACATTGCCAGCAGAAGCATTAACCTAAAAGATATGCACAAATCAAACGGGGTACAAAGGGCTTAATACAAAGCCCTCCTTTGCTCTCATTTAACTGGTAAAAGCAATTCTGGAACAAATCAAGAAATACTACAGTGAGCAGTAAGTAAGTGCTGTGAATTCGCAGCAGAGGTGGAATCCTGTGGTTCACATAGCTGGGTATCAGAAGTATGAATTGTGATGGCCTGAAGAACAATTAAAATTTGGTGGAAATAGAGAATATTGTGAACGAAGAAAAAAAAATAGTGAGAAAAGTCTAGGATGAACATAGGATGAGTGAAACATCTGTAAGGAGAAAAGACTGGGAAAGATCCTTGAGCCAGACCACAGGCTTTCAAGTGCAAGGATGAGAAACATGTACACTTGGATTTCTGATATCAAACTGACCTCCCCTCTGAGAACTATGTAAGTTGGATTAAATGCCAAAATTATATAACTCAAAACATGGGCAAGCAAACAGAACATGGTCTGAAGACATTAGAGAACAATCAACGTGGCCAGATTGAAGATTACAGAGAGGTTCCCTGAAGCCAGGTGATTTTACTCTGCAGGTTCCTCCAGTCTGTGCCGATTTGGATCGCACAGCAAGTACGCCCCACATGGCGGCAGGTGAGACTTTGTAGTAGTCTCACTTGCAGGGGAGACAAAACTTGGAGAGCTAGGAGTACTTTCCACCTTCAAGATGCCACAGAAACGGGATCCTAACATTCTTCATACAGTTTGCCCTGCAGGCACTGGTCAATTATTAAACTGCCTAAGCAGGGACTAAGAAACCAAACAGAAATAAGCTAATGGTAGAGTTAAAAATCTAAGCAGAAATTCTGGTGAGCCAAGTTTGGAGTTCCGAACTTGCCAAGGAAGAGGGGTCTTGATAGAATATGGCCGGACTCCAGCCAAGGGCCTTGAAGAGAGGGCTGCACAAAGCAGAAACAGATCGCTTCAACTTGATTACTGTGTTGTACCTGCCAAACAAAGCCACTGCAATTCTCTCTGGAGGAGATAACATAGTTCTGAATCCCTTTTTTAAAAAATGTAATATCCATCACTGAATCAAAAAATTACCAGGATGTCAGGAAAGAGTAACAGATGACTGGAAACCTAGAGAAAAATAAAACAACAGAAGCAGCCTCAAGGAGATTCGACTACTTGAATTGTCAGGTACAGCCACTAAAATAAAAGAACTCAAAGCAAAGATCAGGAATCTATAAAAATGAGTCAAATGGAAATCCTAGAACCAAAAACAAACAAAAATCAACTAAAATTAGGAAACGGGAGTTCAGAACCAACATGACACACAAGTGGAACATGGCACACGTCTACAACCAAACTAAGCACACATGGGAAAAGAGAGACCAGAACGTAGGAAAGGTGAGACACAGGTCCAAGGGAACAAAGACAACAGCTCCATACAGGGAGCCCATATACGGAGCAAAGAATGCGGGAGGTGCACACCGCTGAAGAGGTAACTTTCCAAATTAAATGAAAAAATTCAAGCAGTGAAGTTCTACAAATACTAAGCAGGATAAGGAAAGCAAGCGACACTTAGTCACTTTATGCTCTAATACTGCTAAAACCAAACTACAAAATTTAAGAAACTAGAGGAAAACAGACATTATATTCAAACAATAAAATTAACACAGGACAGGTCGACAGAACTAGATGACAAATGAGAACAATATATTTAAAGTATGAAAGAAAACATCCACCTGAAACTCTGTATCTAGCAAAATTATTTTTTTCTTTTTTAAAAATTTATTTATTTATGGGTACAAGAGCTGGGTTTTGGCAAGAGGTGTGGGGGTTGAGAGGATCCACCAGAGACAGAGTAGGGGGCATAACAGGAGGATCTACTGAGATACACTGCCGAGGGGAACAGCAGGTGTCTGCTGCACCATATGGGTCACCTCCCTGGCCAGTGATGGAACTTGTGCTGCTGTGGCTGCTGACAGCTTCATAGTGCTGAGACTTAATGCTCTGTGCCGCCAAGGAGGCCCTCCAGCAAAAATGCAAAAGTATTGTCAAGAAGTGAAATAAGGGTGTTTGCAGACAAAAAAGAAGAGAATGTGTCAATAGGTTTGTACTGAAAGAAGTACCAGAGCTACTTATGCTGAAGGGAAATAATTTCAGCTAGAAATGTGGAAATGCAAGGAATAATAAACAATGCTTAGAGTAACTACATACATAACTAAAGGGAGAGTTTACAAACAATACAATTTTCAGAGGGCTTAATAAATAACAATAATCAGAAAGGTGCCATCTGTGCAGAGAAAATTTTAGGTTCTGTATTACCCAGTGTGGAGTGAAAGTGCTCATCTAACGTATACTCTAAAAAAGTATCATGTTTTTCTACAATTACCAAGAGTATACATGATAAAAGTATGCAGTTAATGAACTACTGAAAAAGTGGAATGACAGATCAATGCAGAAGGCAGCAAGAGAAACAGAATAAATAATAAAAGAGCACTGTGGTAGACTGAGATCCAAATACATCAGTAATCACAGTCAAAGTTCACTCACTAGTTCACAACTGCACGAGTTGGATCCCCGACCAGGGAGGTGACCACATAGAGCAGCAGACCTCTCCTGTTTTGCCCACTGTTCCCATCAATAGTGTAATTCTGCACTACCTGTTCTGCTTCCGCTTAGCCCCTGGTGTGCCCTCCTACCCCCCCCCACCCTCTGGCCAACACCGCAGTTCTTGTACGTGTAAATAAAAACAAATCTTAATGAAAAAAAAAGTTCACTGACTAGCCTAGTTAAAAGACAACTGAAATGTGCAATGGGTTAAAGCACAGCACTGAGAAGCTAGAGCCACTTCAGCACCAGTGTTCAATCCCCATCCCGGAGGTAACCCACATTGCGCGGCAGATCTCTCCTGACCCACCCACTGTACCCCTCAGCAGTGTATTTCAGTCCATCTGCCTGTTCTGCTCCCCACTCTGTCTCTGGTGAATCCTCTCACCCCCTGCACCTCTGGCTTGTACTCCAGTACTGTATGCATAAATAAATAAGTCTTTTTAAAAAATGTTATTTATAAGAGAAAATTTTATAAGGGCATCAAAAGATATAAAGTAGAAATAAGAAAATTTTTATTATACAAACCTTAAACCAAACTGCTGTTAAAGCTATACTTTAACAGCAAAAAAAGTTTAATGCAAGCTGAATTTAATGCAAGAATTTTAACTAAATTTAATGCAAGAATTTTAGCTAAAATAATTGGGTTCCCCAGAGCCATGGCCTTCTCTAATGTACAATTTTGCTACTTCAAGACCTCCAGGAAGTTCAAGACTTCCTCATCCCTCAATCTGCAGGAGGAAGATACGCCTATACCCTCCAAGCAGCACCATGTGGAGGAACCCCACATAATATTTAGAAGAGCCACAGACCCCAAGTAATGAAAAAATTGAGAAAGACAAGGGCCCTCTCTGGTGGCACATCAGGTTAAAGCACAGCACTATGAAGCTACTGCAGCCACTGCAGTACAAGTTCCATCCCCTGCCAGGGAGTTGACCCACATGGCACAGCACACCTCTCCTGACCTGCCCTCTGCTCCCCTCAGCACTGTATTTCAGCACATCTTTGCCTACTCTGCTCTCTACTCTGTCTCTGGTGAATCTTCTCACCCCCCTCACCTCTGGCCTGTACCCCCAGTTCTGTAAAAAAAAATAAATTAAAAAAAAATTGAAAAGACAAAATGGATGACTCACACTTCCTGATTTCAAAACATATACAAAGCTACAAACATCAGAATCATGAGGTCCTGGCATAAAAGTAGGCAAATAGTGGAATGGAGTCTAGAAATCAGCCCTGCATGTACAGTCAAATGCATATGCCAGCACTAATCAATGGAAAAAGAACAGTCTCTAACAAATGGGGCTGGCAAAACTGCATGTCCACATACAAGACAGAACACAACATACACACAACTTAACTCAGAATGGAATTGAGACCTGAATGCAAATCCAAACACTATGAAATTCTTGGGGGAAAATGTGGGAGGAAAGCTTCACAATTTTGAACTTGGCAATAAGTTCTTGGATATGACACCAAAAATAAAGCACAACCAACAAAAGCAAAATAGACAAATGGGACTGTATGAAATTTAGAAACATTTGTGCACCAAAGGGCATAATCAAAAGAGTATTAGTAAATACCAGCAAATCCAACTTAATATAGAAAGGATAATATTTAAACTGAATTAGGTTTATTTTAATATAAGGCATTAATCACTCAAGCATCAATCATATCACTATCACATTACAGATAGAAATCATATAAGCATCTTAATACATGTAATACAGATCATTACAAACATCTAATAATATTCACTATCTGGGCACAATTTAAAAAACTCTCAGCAAACCAGAAACACAAGAGCATTTCATTACTCTGAGCACAACAGCTCCCCCATATTGGAGGGGTATGGGGGAATGCCTGAAACCCAGATAGCACCAACCCTTAAGCATACTATTTTCCTCATTTTACATACATAACTATGATAAAGTTTAATTTACAATTAAACACAATAAAAAATTACAAGAATTATAAAAATTATACTGTAAAAGAAGTTGTGTAGTCTCTCTCAAAATACCTTACATAGTATTTTTGGAACATGGCTGACTGAGAGTGACAAACTGCAGAAACTGAAATCCCAGATAAGGGGGGGTCTACTTTAACATAATTTACGGCACACATGTGACCCTGTGACTATTTCTACCCAACAATTTACATACAGTCCTGGAGATCTTAGCCAATAAACAGAAGAAATAATGTAAGTAAAACTATTACTGTTTCCATGTAACATAATTCCAAACAATAAACTATGTTATAAATTATGTGAACTTAGCAAAGTTACAAAGTTACCATAAGGCTAACAAAACAAAAATAAAATTTATTTCTATGTAACAGTAACAATTACAAAATAAAACTTCTAAAACATAGTACTATGTATCGGGTTATGAAACTATGTGTCAGACATAAGGTAAAACTTATGTTAAAGCTAACAATGCTTTACTTAAACACACCACCCCAGGAATTGACGTGTTGTCTGTGCTCCTTCCTGACACAGTAGCAGAGCCGAGTAGTTGCACTGGGATCTTATGGCTCACACAGGCTAAAGTACTCACTAGCGGGGCCTTAAAAGAAAGTACAGTGACCCAGTCATAAACAGCAACATTTGAAAAAATTAAGTTCATAAGGGACGGGGTTTAAGACCTCTCCAGGAGAAATCATACATTGTACAAAACTGAAGGATGATGTAATATATTTTTTAATAATAATAAAGACTTCTCCACATGAAATCACACATATTACTAAGAGAAATTAAAGAATAAAAAGAAAGATAAACCATGTACACCGACAGGAAAATACACTATTATTGGATTTAGGGAAAAATGACAACATTTTTGCATAGTAAACGTACACCTTGACTTTTCCAATAATGCAATATAAATATTTTAATTCTTTTCAATTGAAATATTGATTGATTCTATATAACCAATCTATACAATTCTTTCCAAACTGAGGTACAGATTCTATTCAATCAAATATAGGTTTATTTTCAGAAACTGGCAGCAAATCCCAAAGCTATGAGAAATTCAAAGGCCAAGATAATTTTGAAGAAGACACACCTAAGAGATATCAAGATCCACAGCAATAAGCCTGTGGTACTGCACAAAGATAAACAAACCAAAGACTAATGGCAAAGAACAGAATCCAGAACAGACCATAATAGCCAAAAGATTCACTATAATACCATGGGGGAAAATGGCCTTTAAGTGGAATGAATATTCATATTGGGGAAGAAAAAACAACAAAAACCACAAGGGGAAAAAAAAGTAAGAATGACCACTTCACAGCATACACAACAATCAATTCCAAGTGGGCTGCAAACCACAAAATAAAAACAACAGAAACACCATTGGGGACCCGAGTTCCATCACCAGCCAAGGAGCTGACCCACAGGGTGCAGCAGACCTCTCCTGTGTCTCCAATGCTGCACTCAGCTGTGTAAGTAGATCTGCCTATTGTGCTCCCCACTCTGTCTCTGGGGAGTCCTTTCTTTTTTTCCAAGATTTATTTATGCATACAGAACTGGGTGCAGGCCAGAGGAGCAGGGGCAGTGAGAGGATTCACTAGAGAGACAGCGTAGGGAGCAGACTGAAGTACACTGCTGAGGGAAGAAACAGGTCAGACAGGAGAGGTCTGCCATGCCAAGTGGGTCACCTCCCTGGCCAGGGATCAAACTCCTGCAGCAGTGGCTGCGGCCAGCTTCTTGGTGCTGAGCTTTAACCTGTTCTACTATCAGGGAGAGCCCTCTGGTAAATCCTGTCACACACACCCCACGCTGCACCTCAGCTCTATGCACAAAAAATAAAAATATATGTATATAATATAGACACAATGCTCTTATTAGAAATATCACAAAATATCTCCACAATGTTAAATTAGGCCAAGATGTATTAAGAAGAAACAAGAACGACAGATATAGTCAAATTCCTGAATCAAATTTCATGAAAAGGAAAATATGCATTTTATCACAAGATACTGTTAGAGAAAGCAAGTAACTGTCTTAGAGAAGATGTGCAATACATAAACCCAAAGAATTCATATCCAGAATATGTAAAGAATTCTACAATTTAGTGACACCCAATAAAATTTTTCAAGTATTAAAAAATACATAAGAGAAGATTTTCAGGTTTCCAATACAGACACTTAACATCATTAGTTATTTGGCAAATGAAAATTAATCCACAGTGAGATATTCTCACCTGAACAGCAAACTTTTACAAACATCCATTATCCAGCATTAGTAAAGAGGCAGAACAATGGAAATCTTACACTTTGTTGCAAGGAACATACAATGAGCACAATCACATTCAAAAACTAGTACTTTTTGAAAGATAATAAACACACCAGTGACCCAGCAGTTCTAAGCATATACCCAGCAGAAAAGTATTATTTTAGCTTGGGAGAGCAGGGATCTAAAGGAACCTGGAAAAATATTTACGTACTTCTCCTTAACTGATGCTGAAAGAGCTGGGCCAGCTTAAGGGAGGCCTCAGAACTTGCTTAACAGGTGAAAGCATTCATAAACCTTATACGTTCTCCCATTTTTACACTCCCTGTAACTACTATGGCATTATTTCTGCAATAAAGATAACCGAAATGATTATCCATGAGATTCTAAAAGAACAAAAGAAATGTACATATTTTTACATCAAAACACAGGAATAAAAATGCTCACGGTAGCTTTACTCTTAAAAGCCCCACATGAAACAACCCAGTGAACCCAAATGCCACCGACATTACAACAGGGAAAGACGCTCTGGGGTACTCCTAAGATGGAGCTACTCTACAGTAATAAAGCAAAATGACCACTGCATGGCGAACCTCAGAGACAACAGCCAGCAAAAGCCAGCCCTGAGGATTGCTTATTTATAAAATTCAAACAAGGTGGAACCAACAGATGGCGACAGCAATCACAGAAGTGGTCACCCTGAGGGAAATAAACAGGGCCCGACAGGCTCCTGTGACGCTGGGGAGACACGGCTCCATCTGTGTGGTAGTTCCCAGGGCACATGTTTACCTTGTGAAGGGTTCCTCAGACTTTTGCACTTTATTTATTTTGCTTTAATAAAAAAGCTAAGGGAGGGACGGAGGAAGGAAAGGAAAAAACAAGGGAAGGGAGGCACAAAAAAGGCTGGCCTTATTCTGTGATACTGAACGTTTTTGACCAAGAGAAGTATGTAAAATTTTATGACGCATTTTCTTGGCTGTGCAGGATTTATTGGAGCAGCAGAAATACTTCTGCTATAATCCTGGTGTCCAAACTAGCTGATAAATATTTATGACATATGCAGCTAATACTTGAGCTATGAAAATAGGAGTGGGGTGGTAAACAGACAATCTAAAGAAAATTTAACAAATCTTGCTGACTGGACTTGGGCTGGAGGGAAAGTGGAAAAGAGGGAAGGGCTAAAGTTTACTGTAAGGTTTCCAGTCTGGGCAATAGGGGGTTGAAATGGCAAAAGCACCAGTGACAAAAGTACCAGTAAGTGAGACTGAGTAACATGTTCACACGCACAAGGGCAGGTTAAGAGATTTACGAAGCCCCACTGGCCCCGCAGCACCGGACAACTGTTAGCTGTCACTGCTATTGCCCGAGACACTACAGGTCTGATCGTGTGAGGAATCAAGGACTGCAACTGCGCCTGAATAACACAGGTGAATCATATTATAAAACGCACTCCTTCCCAGAGCCTCTTCACTCCTCAGACCCTAAGAAAGCCTACCAACGACACCGTTCTACTCACTCTGGCTCGTCGTTGCCTCACTTCCGCCTTCAGTTTATCTCGAAGCTTTCTCAGTTTACAGATCTTTGTCCCAAGAGCATTTTCCACTTCCTGCTCTTCCAATTTTTTATGGGACCTTTTCGCTTGTGCCTCAAGTCTTTCCAAGTGAGCTAAAACACCTAAGGAGAGTAAAAAGGGAATTTCAGTAGGAAACCAAGAATATTTAACTCGGCAAAGGAAGCACTTAAGAGCCGAAGTGGCCGCTCTTCCCCCCCAGAATTTTGTTAGACACTGGCTACAAAACCATGAGTTCAATGATCAGCAACCTTGTCAGTTAACACTAATGTATAAGCATTGTCTGGCAGGATACTACTCAAATAGCACATTATCCTAATACAGATCATCTGAGTTAGTCACGATAATGACCCCTAGAAAAAAGAGGTCACCAAATTCAGACTCTCAAAAATTGTCTTAAAAATAGTTGTTGCATATTTTCCCAAAGTGCTAATGCATGACTTGCTGGGTTGGGACATGGGGTCTGACTAAATACTCTGATGCTCTGCAAAGTATTAGCAGCACAGGTCTGTAAAGGCACACACTATATGCGGGATTAATACTGGAAAAGGAAAAGAACCTCACTATTCAACAGAAACACAGAAGGCAACCTCAATTCCCAACAGAATGACTAAACTAAGAATATAAAAAAAATCCTATTTTCACAGTGCTGACTCTAAGAGTACAGCACTTGCTAAGTATTCCCTACATATTAAGACACTTCTGCTAGATGCTTTACTTGCAAAGCATGTGATGGAATGAAAAATTTAGTAACTATTTCCCATACACTGGACAGATGCTAATAAGCACATCACCTGCAAAGCATGAAAACAAATACGAGTCTCATCCCTGCAACCACCAGCACAACACAACTATTCGTGCCCATCTTCCAAATGAAGAAACTGAAGCAGAAAAAGGTAAATATCTTGCCTAAGGTCAGACTAAAATGGCAGAACCAGGGCTCAAATCCCATCTGAACAAAACCGAAGTCGGTGCCGGGGGCTGCCCCCTCCACCGAAGCAATGCACTAAATACTGGCCCTAAAATAGCCGAGAAGAGGAGACCTGGCTGGTGAGAACTGGTCAATGAACGCTGCCTATTTCGACTGCACCTGCCCTTGTCATGAAGGGCAAGAGCCCCGGCACACTGAAAGTCCTAATCTTCTGTTCTCTTAAATCTTCAACGCTAGGGCCTCTGACCATTCTGACCCCAAACAGGCTGGAGAAAACAGGTCTTTCAAACGGGTGGAGGGGGGGCGGTGAGGGGTCATCTTTGCGCAGGAGTAAGGAGAGAGGCGACCCTCGCGCACCTGCTCGGGTCTCGCTGTCCGGGCGCGAGGCACTGGCCGACGGCATCTCCTCGGCTTCCAGAGCCCTCCAGTGAGGCTGTCCAGTCATTTGTCCGGGTAAGCCGAAGTCAGGCCTTGACCTCCTCGCTGGTACCAGAAAAATGGCAAGAAGTCACACCTCACATTCAAACCGGCCCGCTCCGCAGGGCACACACAACGCAGGCGCGCACCCCACCTTCCCCACAGCGTCGGGGCGAGGACGCCCCGTCTGTGACCCCGCGGCGTTCCCAGGGTCCGAGCCGCCCGCGCCTGAGTTTACCTCCCCACCCCTGCTGCCCCCGAGGGCGCTCCAGGTCACGGTCCCGTGCGTCCCAGAACCTCACTCTCTCAGAGGTGCCTACCGCTCAGTCAGCGCAGAGACGCCAGTTCCCGCCGTCTGCGTCTTCAAATCCAGTCGGTCCCAGCGTGCTTTGCGCTCCCACCGTACATAACATGGCTGCGCTCAGGGCCCCTCCCTCCTCCCGGCATGCACCGGGGAGTAAGTCCAGCCTTTCTGTTGGGCAGGAAAATGGCGGCCTCCAGCGCAGAGCCGCAGATCCTGGTACAGTACTTGGTGTTGCGAAAGGATCTATCGCAGGCCCCCTTCTCGTGGCCATCCGGCGCACTGGTAGCGCAGGCCTGTCACGCTGCCACCGCGGCCTTGCACGTTCATCGCGACCACCCTCACACACAGGCTTACCTCCGGGAGCTGGAGCGCATGCGCAAGGTGGTGCTCGAGGTAAGGCGTGTGGAGGGGCCTGAGGACGTCGAGACCGGAAGTGGGTGTGGCCTTGAGGCCCAGTTCTAGTTTCGGGAGAGGGTGTGTCGGTAGTGGAGAGGGAGTCTCAACTTTGAAGTTTGGGGAAGGGTTCTGGGGGTGGAGCTGTTGCCAGGGAACCGTCCTTGGCTGGGCAGACTGTTAATGTTTCCCGCAGCCCGCGGCGCTCACCTGCGTCTTTCGCTGATGCCTGCGCGACAGAGCGTGGGGCGCGAGGCCCCGCCTGTCTCACCTGCGCGCTGAAGAGTGTCCGAAGTGATGGGAAATGAGGTCTTGTATGGAACACTGGAGTCAACTTGAAGCTTTTACCTGGTCATGACGTCAAAATATTGGAAAAGAAATGTTAGCCCTGGTATAAGTTGAGCCTATAGCATTGAGTGAAGCTGTAAGCTTATTGGCGCAGTGACCAAACAGAGCTCTTGACTGTCAATTCTGCTGGAAGTGTATCCTTAGAAAAGTTTACAAGTGTTTTCATAGGAGTAGTTTACACTAGTAAAAAATGTGGAAAGTGCTAAATGTCCAATACAAGAGATTGACTAAACTACACCCATCTAATGGATTGTTACAAGCGTAGCGTAAATGATTTTCTTGGACCGTATTTCATTGGCTTGGAACATGTGACATCATGCTAACTCAACTGTCTTCTGTATACAAAATGACCCAGGTTGTGAAAGGAAAAATGAAGGAAATACATCCAAATATTAAGTGGGAGGTGGTGGAATTTTGGTCATTTCCTAATGCTTTTCTATTCTTTTTCGTTTTCTACATTAAGCGCATATTTATGATGAGGGAGAAATGCATTTTTTTGTCTTTATGAAAATTTTAATAAACCAGAGCCCTGAAGTGAAGTAATTCCTTCACTGCTAACTGATTAAGACATTAATAATAGAGAATTGTTGGCACATGGAAAAATTAAGCTTTTGGAGCCAGGCTGCGCAGTTCTTTCTTTGGTAGAGCTTCAGGAAAGAGAACCTCTCCTCCATGCTTTTCCCTTTACCTTTTGTCTTCCTAAATGTGCTACACAGTCCTTTTCTGTGTTTGGCTCCTTGTAGGCCCCCAACGAGACCACCCTAAAGGAGCTGGCTGAGACCCTACAACAGAAGAACATTGATCACATGCTGTGGCTGGAGCAGCCTGAGAATGTCCCCACGTGTATCGCACTGCGTCCCTACCCCAAGGAAGATGTGAGCCAGTATTTGAAGAAGTTCCGATTGTTCAAATGACAGATGTTATCAATTGCTAGGATATATTTGATTATCAGCTGGATGTAGAAGCCAAGATCATCCAACCCTAAGCAGCCTATAGTCTTTTCAGTGGCAGCTTGCTCTTCCCTTAAAACTATGACAGTTTCTGGCCCTCCCTGGTGGTGCAGTGGGTTAAAGCGCAGCACTGCAAGCTAGCCACAGCTCCAGTTTGATCCAAGCCCCAGAAGTGATCCACGTGTTGTGACAGGCCTCTCCTGATGCGCACGCTGCTCCCCTCGGCATTGTACTTCGTCAATCTGCCTGGGCTGCTCGCCACTCTGTCTCCGGTGAATCTTCTCACTGCCCCTGTATCTCTGGCCTGTACCCCAATTCCCCCAATTCTGTATGAATAAATAAATAAATCTTTAAAATAATTTTTTTAAAAAAATGACAGTTTCCTGAGGGTCAAACACATGCTCACATTAAAGTTGCCATTATAAGTATTTCATCTTATTTTTAATTATTAGTAATTTCAGATGGGAAAAGTAGGTGAGCAGTAATATTGTCTATAGGCCACCACAAAATATGTGGTTAAGTTCCTGTAGAAGTGTAAGGAAATGCCTTTTTTGTTTTTTTTTTTTTTTGGTTAGGTATAATAGAGTTTTCCCAGTCACGCACATGTAAAGCTTTGCCTTTGAATTTCTTATTTCCTACTTCTTAATTTATGCACTTATATTGTATTAAATCTAAAACCACCTCAACTTTGACTCACTATTTTACATGTTAAGGAAGAAATACTGCCAATTAAATTTAGACATGTAGCTAACTGTAAGATGTGTGTGTGTGTGTGTGTGTGTGTGTGTATACACACAAATATATATGCATATGTTAACATCTTTGAAAATGATATTAACACACATAGATTTCTTTCTTAGATTTGATGAAATTTGTCATGTACCGTGACTGTTTCTTAGAGTTTCCAGGCTCTCATTTTGCTCATTAGAATATCCCACTGGTCTTCTCACCTCTAGTAGATCCTTTTACAACCCAGCAGACTGCTTCCATCAGGTTTCCATAGGGTCACTGAGCTCTCTGTTCAGTTTCTGTGCCTGTGAGTCCATGGATTTAAGTCATAACTCCTTAGCTTAGCCTTCAGCCCTCCACATTTAGATTTCCTACCTGTCTTAGGTGAATCTTCTACTTTTCCCTTATCTAACTTTGATGTTCAACAAAGACACTCTCATTACTGCCCTCCAGTCTCTTGCCTACAAATCAAATGTTAGTTTTCATTTCCCCCTCTCCTGCCTCTTGAATTATTTCCAGCTCAAGTGCTAGCTTTTCACAAAATCTTACCCGTCAAAAATTATCATTCCTTTCTTGAAGATCTGTAATATGCTAAGTAATGTGCAAACTATTCCTATAAAAATTGGCAGACACTACAGAAATTGGCCACTTATGAAGAAACGTTTATGAAGGGTAACTTGTTTAACAGATTATCTGTTGCATGTCTAGTGTGGCAGATGTATAAGAGTTAAGGATACAGAGGTAAATAAAACACTTCTTACCCTTAGGTAACTAAAATCTGAGAAGACAGAAGTAACTAATATAGAGAGAAATGGAGAAGGTAATATGGGTATATTTCCCTACTACCACCTAGGTATCAAGACTAAGCTACAAGATACGAAGATGTTCTCTTACAAGCGATGGTCATGGGAAAGTAGGAGAGTGAATAGGATCTCCAAGGGTGACTTGGTAACATGGTGAGCGCAGAATCAATCCCAGGAAGCCAAGAGGATAGTGTTTCGAAGGGGAGAGAACAAGTGTAACAGAAAACACTTAGCAGTTGTGAACAACTTGGTGAAAGCAGTTTAAGTAGCTTATAAGGATGGAAATCTGAGTGGGGTCCATTGAGACGAGAATGATAAGAGGGGGGGTCAGAGGGACTATTTCCAGAAACTTGAAGGGGAGAGAATAATAATTGGATAGGGGCTAGAAAGAAGATTCTGGGCCCCATAGGGGGAATTTTACCAGGTGCTCCAGCAAATGGAGGCAGGAGAATGAGAATGGAGACCAATGTTATTAAACAGAGTAAGGTGAAGACACAGGGAATGGCAACCTTGACGAGTGAGAGAATCTTTTGTGAGACTGGAGGGAAGGAAGTAGGGGAGGATATGGATACATAAGCTCACAGACTGGAGGGGGAGGAAGGTGAAGTTAACCATACGTGTTCACTTAATATTCTCCTATAAAGAAGGGGGATATTGCACTTATAACACTGAACTTATTGAGCATTATATTAGCCTAGGGGTAAAGAGGTCCGAGTCAACTAGCCTAAGCTCAAATACTGGCTCTCATACATTTAGGATGTGCGAAACTGGGCACTTAACACCCTGAGCCCCAAGCTCCTTTGTGTATAAAGCGGATTTACAGGAGTGCCATGTGGGCTATGAGTTCACCTGACAACAGCACCTAGGCACTTGGTGCCAGCACCTATATCAAAGATGTGAGATCCCACTCTCCAAGAGTCAAATTAGCCAGTTATCTAATTGCCTGTCTGTTGGGAGTGCAGCCCCCCAAACGACAAGTCCTCGCTGCAGTTTATTCCACTCAGGACAATTAGGAATATGTTTCCAAATGATAGCCATCTTTAAAAAATTTTTTTTTAAAATTCTGAATTAGCAGAAAGATAAACTGATAAAGCAGGAGACATGCGTCTCCACAGCTGAAAGGTAAGAGCTCAGGCAAATCCCTGAAGCAGAGAGCTGAGCACAAATAGCAGCCATTTCTAGCTACATGGGGAAAGGCTGGGGCCCCACGCTGACCCGATAAGACGGCAGGAGGTCCTTGGTGGATCAGGGAAAGACCATCACCGTTTGCACTGGAACAGCGGTTCTCAGAGTGTGGTCCTGAGATCAGCCTTACTTGCATACTTGTCAGAAATGCAAACTCTTGAGCCTTACCCCAGATCTACTGAACCAGGACTCCAGGCTGTCTGAAGCAGCCTTATCCCAGGAGGCAGCCTATCTAAAAGGTGAATAAAATGTTGTGATTTAGAATCAACACCTTACAATAGTGTACAGTGTGTTTATAGGAGGGATTTGAGGGAATCTCTGTGCTCTGGTTTCTCTTAAGTGCAAAATTCATGAGCAAAGTGATTCCACGGGGGCTAATCAATTCTGACAACTTCGAGGTGCGGGCTGGCTTCTTTCCTGCTTACAGACCCAGAAAGGCTATGACATGCTAGGGAGCAAGTTAGTGGAAGGCTGGGAGTGAAAATTGGTCTCTCATAAATCTCGGTTCTCTTCCCCTCTCTTAGTTGGCTGCTAATTTGGTTTCCAGCCTTCTAGACACGAGGGCATGACTTGAAAAGGGGTCATGAGTAGTTCAAGTGCTAGGAAACTGTATCTTCCATTTTAAATTGGTTAATTGACATTCTGGATTCTAAATCAGCCTCCTGTGACTATGAATTGTG